AAAACATTTTAAAAGCATATTTTAATAAATAATTTTTCTGTGTTATTCATTTTTAATTAAAATTTTAAAAATTGCTGTATATAATCAATGTTTCTGCCAATATTTTTTTTCTTTTTAAAATTTGTGTTTGCGTAGCAAGAATTTGTATCGACCTTGTCAAAATCCTGTTATAAGTTTTAGTATTCTTTAGTATTCATAATTAAACCTGGAGCACTTCAACATAGTGTAATGGTTAGCAAGCCTGTCTTGCTTGATCAATTACAACTGAAAAAATGAGTTTGATGCTTACTGGGTGCCTCATACTTTTGGCTTTGTGCCACATCTAAGCTATGCTTAGAAAATAACCATGACAAACCCTCCTGTGACAAATCTCTGTTTATGAAAATAAATTATTTCAAGGCCTTCAGCTTACAAGCTATTTTCAATAGATTAAGCATTAAAAAAGTACTAACTTTTTTCCGGGAATACCTGATTATCTCTTTCACTACAGTAGGTTTCAAGACCCAACAAATTAATTGAAATAGATGTAAAGAATGCTTATGGAATTATTTAAATAATTCAAAATATTTTGGTAGTTTTAAGAAAATCTTTTTCTTAAAACTACTAAATTAATTAAGCAAGTGCAAAAAGATTAAGTTTGTATAATAATAATAATAATAATATAAACATTAGAAAATTCTTCAGATGTTTCTTTTAAACATCTCTATGTTGTGTCCAGATTAGCACAATGACAAAAATAATTTTAGAAAAAAGATGTTTTGCTGAATATGTTGTTTATACAGAAGTTTTAGAACAGTAAGAGAATGGATAACTTTTCTTTGTTTGTAGGACGAATATTTGGCTGGTATTGTAAAGAGATATAAATTATAATAGAGATATTGATCTTTATTTTTTAATTTCAGATATATAAAAATTGCCATAGGTCATAAGAAAGATATAATCTAAATGAGAAGATAGAAAATTATTGAGTGATGTGAGTGGAATGTTAGAAATAGTGATCTTGAACAATAACCTCAGAACAATAAAAAAAAAATGAAAGCATTTGGTCCTGATAGCTCGAGTTTGGGTCCTTCATGAAAACAGTCACCCAAGATGAATTTGAAGACAACAATTGGGAGTCAATGTAATGTTTTGCGCTAGTATTGTAGGCAGTAATAATATTATTATTATTCCTTTATGATTTTGTTAATCATACAAAGAGGTTCTTGGGCAAGAGATTTTCACAAATTAAGAATTGGAGTTGATGCACAAAAGCAAGTTCAGACAAGTGAATATAGTATTCTGACTTTAAGTCAAGACAGACCAGGATAAATTTTAAGCCAGCCTATTTTATTTGGCCAAAAAAAATTTAATACAATTTACATTTGTATGTTTGCCTATAAAATGGGGATGTAACCAACATCTCACAGCTAATGATATACTTAATCTATAGAATTTTTCATGCAAGACATATTAAAGATTTTCATTCTGCAAAGCTGATTATTGTCCAACTTGTCAAGAAAGGTTCCAAAGGCACCAAATTAATGGAATGTCCCATTGTCTATCCAGATATTAATGCAAGAGAAAACTTTTGATTCATTGCTAAAAAAAGATGCTGTAATGTTCAAGTTGAATTATTAGAAAATTTACCAAAATCAACAAATGAAAGACTGATGAAGGTTATAGAATGTCAATGAGCCCATATTAATATTTAAATAATATATAAAATTTCAGCTCTGTAGAATATTGTGTTAATGAAATATGGTTATACTAGCAGCATGGCCCGGCATTGCCTGTGCTTGATTCAAAAATCGTATGACACATACAGCAATCGCTATCACTTGACTTAAAATATTTTTGCCCTTCTTTGCCTTTAAAGGAGTGCCCTTTGCCATGCTGATGTTACTACATGCCTTACTTCTTGTCTATCTCACACTGCAAATTTTTTCTAAGCTCTATACTAAACATTAAATCTGTTACAAAAAAAGAACTAAACAAAATGAACACAAAACGATCAGCTTTAAAAAAAGGACTCATAACTGGAAAAACTGAATGAAAAAAAGAATGTTAACAACAAATACTTTTTCACACCCAACCCAGTTCTGCAGAATCAGAATCAACGTTGAGTTTAAGCAAGCGAATGAGCCAATTGGAGTAAAGTGCCATGCAGATTTAAATTTTTCCCACTTGTGACGAATGCAGCTATCGATTTTTTTTTTGCAGCATGCTAGTTAATATTCGTGTCAGTCAGCTGTTGGCTCTCACTCTGGCCAATAGAATCTTCCTGCCTATTCGTAGCAAAATATAGGCTCTCACTCTGGCCAGTACATGGCTGCAAACTACATGAAAACTGCCGTAGAAGCATGAAAAAAATCAATTATTTCCACTATCAATGGGAATTGGGAAATGCAAAGTCGGTCTTGGCCTTCCCACTAACTTGGAGCAGGTGCATGTAAATTTTGATGCAAATCCATCGAAAATTGCGGCCGTGCATTCGTTACACACATACACACACACACACACACACATACACATCCTGCCTTTTATAGATAGAGATAATGCATACCTATGCAGTTTCTTTATAACAATTGGTTGCATTTATTTGCATAATAAAACATGACATCCCCAAAACACATTTCATTAAAGAAATATTTTTTTTTATTAAGAATAGATATTATAAGCTGAAACTCACACTATTTTACTCATATATTTATATCTTGAAAGTTTAACCAACAATACCTGATTAATACCAATTTGATGAAAATATTAACTTACAAAATAGAATTTGACATAATATGAAAGCACAATACTCTAAGAATTTTGTAGTTACTGTATCTTTTCTAACTATGAAAGTAACAAAAGAAAAGTGTCATTGGGCTACCTATAAATATTTGATGATGGGAGACAACATTAAAAGAGATGTACAAGTGAATGGAGAGCAATATTCAAGTAAAGTAGATCTCTAGTAAGCAATCAATACTACTGTAAATAATGTTGAAGTTAAAACAGTAGAAAGTTTACCAAAATCAATGAAAGAAAGACTGATGAAAGTTATAGAATGCCAAAGAGCTCATATTAACATGTAAAATAATAATTTATTTATATATATAGTATAATGTGTTAATCAGATATCTGTTTCTGAGGCCGAGATATTTTGGATTTATTTATTAGAAAAAATTATGTCCGACTTTGTAATACAAAACACCAGATCAAAACAAGTTATTGCTCATAACAATATTAAATATATCCTGAACATTTTTACAGTTATTGGTTGGCTAACATTACTTTTATTATGGAAACATTAACTGAGATAATAAAATTTGGTCTAAAGTACTGTTTCCTAAAAGTACTGTTTGTTCATGAGTTTTCCATGCTAATCTGAGCTAAGGAAATGGATTAGTGATATTATAGGGAGTTTTTTTTTTTTTTAAGTATAAATGTTATAAATACAGTCGGTAAATAGATAAAAACAAATATAAAGTCAATATCAAATCTGTTCAATAATACTGTGACCAGGAACAGTTATAGGAACTGAAAACAAGCAAGTTTTGATGAAGCATGACAGAAACTATATCCAAGTTTATATTTTTCTCCTTAAGTCTGTCTTTTTTGAATATCAAACCTTGATCATGAGCCAAACTTCAAATGAAATGACAGTTTATATGCCAGGTGCTAAATATTGGATGTGAAAAATTGCTAATCTTAGAACTGTGTTCCAATTCCTTGTTGGATTCATTGTATTCACTTATGTACAAATAGCCTTGGGAAAAGTATGAATCCATTTCTTTCCCCCCCAGCTATGGGTTAATTAGTAAGACTTGTATTACTAAATCATTATTATCTCAAAAAAATTCTTACAATCTAAAAATATTTTCTGGCTTTAAATAACCTGCAAATTGTTGATAAGCTGTAGAAAATGAATGAATGAATCAATCAGTCAATCCATATCTATTATGACCCCCTGATTATTTTTTTTTTTTTTTTTTTTTTTTTTTTGTGAAAACCTGATATTTTCATATATCTCATGTGACCCCAGCTTCTGAGCAATACTAGAAGGCCTACTGTAATCAAATTTTGCCATACTGGGCCTCATCCTGGACATATCTTAGAGCAAATAAATGGTATTCATTCTTTTTTGTGCAATACTATACTAACATGGTGAGAAGAAACACTTACTGTAAAATATCTGATACAAACATTTCGATACTTTACTTTGTTTTCATTCATGCCTAACTACGGTAGCTCCTTTACCTTGGGCCTGTTTCCTACGTAGTCTAAGTTTCTTCCCCTTTGGTTGCTACATGAAGAGCAAAATCTTATCCACTATGTACACCACTTAAAATCAATAAATGCCTAATATAAATAAAGAATTAATAGATTTTTTCTTATCTCAAATTTGCATTCATCTTTGTTTTATAAGTCTTTACAGTGCTGACATATTGCTTTTCCAATGATAAACTTTTTGTTAGGATGACCAACACATAATGTAGGTTGTCCCATAAGTTGAGGTACATACTTTGGGATAATTCAAGTCATTGTAAGTAAAAATGAATCTATACACATTTGTTATATTTTGCTTTATTTTGCTAGAAACTGAGGTTGTTTAAATGTATGTTATATTGTTGATAGTAATGGCCAATATGAACTAGTGTAATATAAAAAAAATAAACCTTGCTAATGGAATCAGTTGAAAATATTAAAATAAAAAAAAAATTAAGAGGGAAAATGCAATTAAAATATTAAGAAATAAAGAAATATTGCTTTTATTGATTAATTTGTGTTTTATAGCTTATCAAACTTTTGCCAGATTATTTAAAGCCAGAATATATTTTTAGATTTTAGAAATGTTTTGGAGATAATAATAATTTACTGATATGCCCTACTACTTCACCCATACCTGGGGGAAGAAGAGTCGGATTCAAGGATATTTGCAAATAAATGAATATAACAAACCCAACTGGAATAGGAACTCAGCTCTCTGATTTCCAGTTTTGATTCATTATACAACCTGCACATCCAAGCTTACAGCACCTGGTATTCCCAAAACATTCCCCCATCAAGGTACTGACCAGGCTCGATGTTGCTTAACTTTGGTGACTGTATGAGAACCAGTGTTTCAATGTGATTTAGCCAAAAAATATTATCTATTACACCACCTGAACATCTAAAATGTTGCACTTTATATTTCTATCAGATTCGTGACAACATTGGTGATTTTATGAAAAATTACCCAGTGTCCTTTATAGTGGTAGAAAAAGCATTTTAAGACAAATTAGAGAATTAATAGTTCTATGGTTAATAGCTACCCTCACTTAATTTGAATCTAGAATGGGGGAAGTAAATATTAGTCAAAATACCACCTCAGCATGGCATAATGGTTATTGACATGAAAATGAAATCAACATGCCAAGTTCAAATTATAGCCTAGCTTGTAACATTCACTTTGCAGTAATAGCCACAGAAAAGGCATGAACCCATTTCTTCTCCCCTTCAGTTGTATTTTAACCATTTGCACCCTGACCCCCTTGTGAGTACGGTATATGCACTTTCACACAGCAGCTGTTATATTGCCTGTTCAGGTTCAGAAAGTTAAATAACAAGATAAACTAGGAACTCTCAAGCCTTCAGTAATAACCAGTCAAGAAAAAGGACAACTCTAAATTGAAAAACCATGAAGATGGCAAAGAGAAACCACTCCACTCACTTTCCCAAGATGTCATGACAATTCACAGATGATAATAAAAAAAGGACTATGTGGACAGCCATGATCACCTGCAGGGATATGGCATTTTCTTTAGCACATATGAGACACATGTCTTTTGAAAATGTCAGCCATGAATCTCTTTGGTTATGCCACACTGCCAAAACCCATTCTTGAGGTTTTGGTCTGTTGCAAACAAATTAAATTTATTCATGTGAGTGAGAAATCCATTAAAGGTTTTAATATGAAAAAAGCAATGTGTAGAATTTCCAATAACAAACCAAATTGACATTGGGATTTGTCAGGTTTAATAATGGAAGTAACAGCCATTTTGTTGCTACTGTGTAGGTAATGTATACTATTTATTAGTTATTTTACAACTACCCTGCAAACATAACATCATGGGGATGGGATGAGGATTTATTATTTACCACAAAACAATATCCTAGTTGATGAAAGTGATGGTTCATGAATTTGGTAACATAGTCATTGTGAGTTCAATCCCCTGGGCAGGGTAGTGTGTACTTAGACAATATTAAAAATAAGAAATAAACGAGACATCCAAAGATATGGGCAATGAAATGAGAACAGTCTAACCCATAGATTAAATAAAGGGTTCAATTTGGAATTCCCTGTAGGTCACCAAGATTGATATGCACCTGATGAAGGCCAGTGGGCACAACAGTTGAAATGACAACAACAAAGATGAGGACAAGAGTCCAAATGTAAATAGGTTAAAGAATGATAAATTCTCATCCCAGAAATTCAAACAAAAATATTTATTGGAAAGTGGCTGACTCAACTGTTCACTTATCCACTCTTTTGTCTGTTACCCATGGCAACGAGAGAAGGCTTACAGCCACATCACTTTAAAACACCAGTGCTTGTATGATCTGCAAAGTTATTCAGAGTCAAGCATGGTCAGTACCTTGATGGGTGACCACTTGGGAATAGCAGGTTCTATGAGCTTAGATGTTCAGATGGTATAATGGATAATTGCTTGGAATTGTTAATCAGGGAGTCAAGTTTCAATTCTGGTTGGGTTTATTATATTCATTTATATGCAAATACTCTTGGGAAAGGTATGAATCCACCTCTTCTCCTCCTGCTATGGGTTAATTATTAAGATTTGTATCACTAAATTATTATTATCTAAAAAAATCATGACAATCAAAAAATATTTTCTGGCTTTAAATAACCTGTAAAATAACCATAAAATCATAAAAATAAACCATAGAAAACAGTTTAATCAAATTATATCAAAGCAACATGACAGTGTCAAGGCAAGTTTTCTGGTAAATGTGCACCCCACAAGATTTTCCTGTTAAATCAGAATACGACCCCCTCCTGCCACTGCATGCATGTTTTGGATATTTATTCATTTATAATTAAATTTTCTCACAAAAAGAAACAATTTTTTTTAATCATATCACCCCATCTAAGGCAATAAAGCCACTAAGATACAAGGGATGTGGGAGAACAAGAAAAAAGAGAAACATTAGGGAGCGAGAAGAATAGAAGAGTAATCAAGACTCTAGATAATGATTGACATTGCATATGAATTTTTGAAGATCAAAATTGGCTGGAAAGAATGAAGCCAGAAGAGTGCCACAAATGAGAAGTGTGAGAAAATAAACTGTTAACATAGAACTTATGCTTACATCTAGCCAATTCAACTGTGAATTGATGAGGCTTTGCTGCCAATCTCGTACTATGCTTAAATTCATCAAGTCTAGGTACCATAGCAAAGAGTTTAGCTGAACAATTATCATGAAAGTATTTATAGAATAGGCACAGGGAAGCTATATTATAGTGGTGGGAAAGTGACTGAAGCCGGGAGGCCAGGCCAGATCCAATCACATTGGTGATTCTTCTCTGGATTTTATGAAGAGTTTCTAAACATATAGCAGAAGCACTGGACTAGATATGGCAGCAACATTCAAAGCATGGATGAATGATACACTCCTAAATATGCAAGATAGATTCTGGAAAAATTGTCTCACATGGCACAATGAACTGTCTTTTTTAGAGCAACACCTAGCAATTTTCAATATAATCTTCCTTTTTATATCAATTTTTAATGTTAAACCAAATTAATGAAACAATTTTGAATGAAATATTAAATTTACTCTCTTAACACAAAAACGATGTTGATATTAAATTACCCATTAAGGGTTTATATGCCATAAAGCCAATTTTTCTTAATCAATGGTATTAGATAAAAAAATCTTTTTTTATATTTTCTTTTGTTTTTTTTTTTTTTTAAATAGTTTCATTTTATCCAAAAGATTTTTTTGAGAAAACCAAAAATAATTAATTTGTTCACACTAAAAACTTAAATTTACATAAAACATAAAAGGCTTAAATTTTGTGTCAGATTATTCATAATGATATTTAAATTTGAGATTTTTTGCAATTTGCATGGTTTTCTTTTATCAACTGATTCGATTTTGTCAAACCAAAAGATTTCCAGAAAACATTTTTCTCCAGTTATTCTGCTTAAAATTTGGAAACAAAGAACGTTTCTTTTTCATCTTAATCTTTTAAATCTTTCATATTTCACATGTACGTACAGATATTTAAATTTTATATATATATATATATATATATATATATATATATATATTAAAGATTTTTCTTCTAATGATCCTATTTTTTTGAAAATTTTTTAATGATCTGAATAATAACATACTTTATTTTTTTTAAATGAATATCTATGCAGATGATAACCATATTTTATTCACAAAATTTTTCTTGTAAAAAATTTATGATCAGAAACAAAACTTTTAATTCATCTTGAACCCTGTTTTTAATTAATGACAAATCTATCCTTTAATAAAATTTTCTTAGTTTCTTTCATTCTCATTAACCCTTTTTATCTTTTAGTGACTTTATCACATTTGATTGGGGTAAAATGAAATTTACTAAAACCCAAAAATTGAAAATTGATTTTTAAATGACCCATTAATGGAATGAATGCCATAAAATCAATCAATCACTGGTATGGAAAGGATGAACATGTGAGATTTTCATTCATGTTTTGACTGAAATAAGCTAGTAAATAAAATGTGATTTTTTCCCAAGATAATAAACTTAATTATCAATTTAAAATAAAAAATAAATTTATATTATATCTATAATGTACAAAAAAAAATTCTGTCGTTTCTTTTCAATGTTTTTTCAGTTTCCATTTGAAATCAATAACCTCTTGAGTCTTAGTTCCATTAATGCCCTTGTTTGGGAGGTCTAAACAATTAAAACAATTGGCTGTCTTTAACTTTTTATTGCAAAAATGATTTTTTGGATTGACAAAATTAAAATGACATTAAAATATAATCAATGGTATAGAAAGGATATTTTTATGAATGAATCTTTTCATGAATGTTTTCAAATTAAAAAATTTGTACATACAAATATTTCATCAAAACTATATATATCTTTTTTTTCCTCTTCTCTCAGTCCTAAATAAACTCTGCTTTCTTTATTAATGATTGAAATTTACTTTTTTAATGATTTGGATTTTAAATTATTTATCTATTCTATGATGCAACATTTTTATAAAGCATTTCCAAAAAAAAGGAATGATAATTTTTTTTTTATTTCTTCTAAATTTTGAAAATTTTGGCAAAATGAATGGTTTGTAATATTCAATAATACCCAAACCAAACTAATTAACATTCTAATTGAACTGATAACAAAAAGAAAAGAGCCTGAAACTTTCATCTGCTTAAATGGATGAAATTCTTCAAAGGAAGTTCCTTGCCTTGGAAGTCTATTAATCTTTTTTTTTTAATTACCTTTGTCTCTTTTTTTTTTACTGTCCATCACTAATTATGCTGGAAAAAATGAATCAATTTATTATATAAATTCAATAAAACCTTTTTGCTTATGTTCTCTCTTTTAAATAAAATTTATAAAAAAAATCTTTTATTTTTTCAACAAAATTTTTTTAAACAAAAATAATTAATTATCACTTGAAATTTTTTGATAGAAATCCAAAAAGTTCACACGTAGCCAAATACAATTTTATTTTAAAAAATATGTCAAAAAATTTTCAAAAATTGTTGCCTAAATGATTAAATGTTCTTTATAAGCTTATTTTTTAACTTATGAAGATTTTTGTTCTAAACTTTCACATTTAGGACCTTCCATGCCACATGCAATAATTAAAAAAATTCATATCTTTTCATATTCCATTAATAAGAAGGAACTTCAAAGAAGAAAGAAAATTTCTCATGAACTGTTACTTTGCAATTAAAACAGACTTTTGATCCAATAAAATCTTAAAAAAACAAGTCTAAAATTTAAAATTATCTCTTAATACATAATTTCATAAACAGACTTTTTTTTTCTTTCTTCTTTTGGGAATACAATATGATTTATTGATTTTCTAAATTTTTAGTTAAAATCTTGATATGAAA